CAGTCGCTAATTTTGTCAGTCCAGAGTTGACTCGGTCAGTTGAGATGAACGATTCGTCTCAAACACTTAGGTAACCATTTTCAGGTCTTCCCTACTTTGCCTTAGACGGTTACTGAGTGCAGCTAGCTGCCTAGTCGAATATAGTGTGAGTGATTAGACTATAAAATCTCCTATATACGCAGAATTTTTTATTCCATTGTCGTATACTTCTTACAATATTGTAGGATGCAGATCCGCTGGCACTACCTGTCCTGCCACAAACGGGCAGATTTGCTCAGTTAATTGTTAAATTCGTTGTACACAAAGTTTTCACAGTTTTGCAAAAGTTTGGTGGAGAAGAAAGGTACGCTTTTTGCAAAAATACGTTCATGAAATATTAGTTGAAGGTGAAATTTCGTAGATTGTGCATGGATGCTGTCAATTTGTTGATCGGTATGACAGAAGCATATGCAACATCTCTGGCATCAGCACCCGAGCTGTTCGATCATCTAGCACAACTGGATATAGCTGCTTTACCTAGCAGGTCTGCTTTCTGTTCTATAGAGATTTGTGCAAGTTTTTCTCGCTTCCAGAACATTGCTAATGAAAGCTTTGGTGTTGATTGGAGCCGCGACAAACGACCAGTCTTTGCAAGAAAACATGTCGGCTAGGGTGAGTTATGATTGAATAGTGCATTCTGACTTGATCACTACCAATAGAAGTTCGAGTGGAATACCCGTGCTGAATGGTGCTGTTCAGATTCTTGACCCACTTGGGCAGCGATTTGCCGCAGCTTGTCAGCAACCGCCCAGCTCAGAAGTAGATAGTCAGCTTGTGGATCTCATTCAGTGCATGGACGGTGTGGCGAGAGCTAGTCAGCCACATTCAGCAGCTATACTATTCAGTAAGTGCCTCTCGAGCTTAGCTCTGTAATTGCTGTTTGTTGCAGAATTCCTAAGCCCTGTATTGGAGAGCTGCGTGCCGCTTATGAAGTCGCGCTCGTATTCTCAACCCATAGTAGCAGCAATCTTAGTACTGATTCAGAATATTACTACTAAAGTTTCCATATATGTGGATGATAAGGTGTGTTTTGACTTCGTGGTATGCTTTTTTTGCAGTTTTCTGCCTATACTAACCTGATGCTCTATCAGCTTCCGTAGAGGTGGTTTGCTTTCTCGAAGTAATCTGTTTATGGGTTACTTGCTTGAAATGAACCTTTGAACTAGCCGAAAAAGCCTAATTCTTGAATTAAGGAGGACTCTGCTACGTTATACCGCACTATCGTTATGATTGTTGATGTTTATCGGTCTGAGCAAGCTTCACGCTTTGTTGGAATGACGGAAAATGATGAAGACAAAGGAAGTGATTTGGTAAGGTGTTACGGTACTCTTCCTTTTGCAATGTCTATCTTTACATCTTCTTCTAGGTGCTTTTCTTGGATATCCTGTCTAATGTTTTGTCGAAGGATATTCTTGAGGGTGGCGAGGACAA